TTCAAATTACCTATAAGATAATTAATGTACGCCGCAAACTTGTTATGCAATAATCTTTTTATGCCTTGCGAGACACTCGATTTGAAATACCACTACATTTCTCTTGTAATCGTTATCTTAGTGAAACCACGTATCCATGTTTATGTTTGTGTTAAATTTGTATATTGCTCATGGTATTTATTTTATCATCAGTAATTATGAGTATCCTACAATTTAAAAGAGTGACTCCCTGTGGCAAATTAGGTATTATGTACTTTCTTATATAATGTACTTTATAAGTATACAGATTTTAAGGGTTACTTGAGAGTTTATGTAACTGATAAATTACTGACTTTCGTCTGTTTGTGTGTATGTGTATGTGTATTGTATTAATATCGAAAGCATATACTGCATATTTTTTTTAACTTGAGGATGTTTTTATTTAGACAATAAAATCAGTTAGCGATTTATATTTGTTCAAATGTTCGCTTTATACTTTTCATATTGATTCAGTTTTTATCAGTGATTGTTTAAAAAGTATCAATCATACTTAAAAATGAAGGTTTCTGTAAACAGACAGAGAAAGAGGGGGAGAGCACAAAGAACTGACATTATATAATAGATTAGTGCTAGTTTACTATGTACAACTTATCAGAGGTGGTTTAGCAACAGTGGGATAAAGCTCAGTGTACTTTACACTCTGGAAATAGTGTTAAATCACTCTGTCTGTCCAACCTCTCCTGTTCTCACAATTTGTGAAAGCGACTAAACATATGAAATCGTAAATTTGTGCTTCTTTCCTAGTTGTATCACATACCACTCGAGAGTTGTATGTGAAACATTTTCTCTAATTTGTATTCGTATACACTGATCTTCGTCCTCTAGAAATTGTCGAATAATAATAATAATAATAACATTAATGATAGTAATTATTATAAGCCAATCAAAACTATTTGCACATCGATCTTGGTGTTGTTGTTGTTTTCGTTGGTGTCATTTTTTATATCTTCCTATGGTATTTTACACCTATATTGTTTCTCTCTAATTCTCTTTCTCTATCCTTCTCTCTGTCTCTCATATTCTCCAATTATTCTCTCTCACCCTATTTATGTCTGTCTACAAGTAACAAAACTTGCACTTTATAATGGTACTACGGGTGATGATCACACTCTTTTATTGATTATTGATTGTATTGATTGTTTCATCTTGGAATTTTAGCTAACAACTAGGTGATGATAAATTTTTGATCATCGCGGCTTAATCAGAATATATTTTTTGTTGGAAAATTTTTTCTGTATTACTTGATTTATTATTTATTTATTTATTATCCTTGATAATATAATTGATTATTGGTCATAAATTATTGATCTTTTTTGGATGTCATCACTAAAGCTTATTCAGAAAACGTCATCTGATGACGCACTATTTCATAGAACAATTAGAGTAATAAATGGTAGCTATGTTGCGACTCTGTGTTTCAGATAGTTCATATGTAATGCATTTGCCTGTCATTTAATTATACCAAACGTTTTTGTAGTTTGTAAAACAGGTATCAGTTGAATAACAAACTTCCAGACTATATATCTTAGGTTCGCTGTTATCCTGTCTATACGCCACCCTGGACGGTTAGCTAATAATTGTGATTGGCTAGTCTTCATCACATACCGAATTTGTGAATACTTTTTGAATGAGACGTTTGTTCTGGTGGGCATCTCGTGATCGTGTTTTGGTATCTGTTGTCGTTTACCAGTGAGAAGTGTTTGAAATCTCAACCTTCGTAGGTGACCTTTTTCTCTGAGTAGGGATTAGGCAAGTTAGTAGTAAGTTTCCTGTCAAAAGAGACCAGATTAAAAAAAAGTGAAAGTTGACAAGGTTTATTCGAGGCTAGAAGGCGAAAGTACCAGCTGACTTAACTTTCTCTAACAGGCCAGAATCACCGTATACCCAATGCATCTCATTTTTACCTTTCAGCAACTGTTTTTTTCTTCATTCATATATTTTTCCGTCTTAATACATCTGATCTTGTATTAAAATATTGAGTCTATAGACTGTGGGCGTATGTGTGTACCTGGATGGTTTTGGCAATTTATTTGGTACCCGGTAAATGATAGAGAAGGATTTTTCAATGCTGGCTTTGTGGTTGGTTTGGACCAGGTGGTATAATATCGAACTGTTGATGGTTTTTACTACACGTTTATTTAAACAAACTGGTAGATATTCCCGAAAATGAAAAATCAAGTTCCTAGAGCAACTGTCACCATAACTTGCTCCACAAGTGGTTTGTGTTCGGGAACATCTGCCACTGTAGTTAAATAAATGTGTAGTAAAAACTATCAACAGTTCGATATTATACCACCTGGTCCAAACCAACCACAAAGCCAGCATTGAAAAATCCTTCTCTATCATTTACCGGGTACCAAATAAATTGCCGAAAATATCCAGGTACCACATAATACTCCAAGCAGCAGAGACTATCGCGAGTCGCCTGCAATAACCGGTGCTTTGTGTGCAGAAGAAACAAGCCCAGCCACCACTACTGCCCGGGTCGGTCTTCGATAGAGATTATAAATTCATGAATTTGTATTATTTTTTACCCTAGTTTTTCTGATATTCATTGTATTATTTGTTGGTACTATTGAACTGTAATCCATTGGTATTATTCTTATTATTATTGATTCGATGTTATTTAAACAAAATTAATGTTGTTAATAACACTGATTCATACACTTTTATGTGTATATAACTGTCGAACCTGATGAAAAAGGCATCATCGAAAACAATATTCTTTGTTAATTAACCATACTTCTATTCTTGTCAACGGCATTTTAAGCGCTGCTGATGGTGTACGAAGGTTGTAGGTCACCTTTAATTTTCTCTAGTGAATCGCACTTTTATTTTCTATAACGATTAACATTATATAACTGGATTTAAGATTTAGAAAAAAAATCAATTAATTAGGATCAATTGTTGTCTTCTATGTACTTGCACACATCTTTGTACTTAAACTGCACTTTTTATTTGTCGACGTTTTTACACTGATTTTTAAGTTGTATGCAACTGGTTCCCTGATGATGATATCCAGTCGTGCCTAGGTTTGATGTTAATTGAATGGAGGTAATGGGCAGGAGGCCTTGGACCTAGGTTTCGTGCTTGTTAGCACTCGTCAAGAAGAAGTATCTAACACCTTTAGGGATTTCATATCCCCTCTGAAATTTTAACCTGTATTACCCAGTGCTACAGTCGGAGACATTACCACTGAACTATCCGGGCTCAGGATTGAACTCCTGGAAGACTGTAGTGGATACATTGAATGGTCAGCAGGGTATAATCGATGTCATCTGTCTAATCCCAATCGACGTCGTTCACTAAAATTCAACGGGTGAAGTTTGAAGTGTGGTCATCGAGATAAGTGACTTGCCATCTCGGGGCACTCTGAGTCGTTCTCAGATGGATCGAGGTCATCAGCAGAAAGCAACCTTGCAGAAACTCATGCCCCTCTGTTTTTCGAACCCGCACCATTCAGTTTCCATCTAATATGCTGGTTTTCATGCAGGACTTTTCAAAATCTGAAACTATTCACAGACACTCTAACCGATTTTATGTCAGGTTTCAGACATTTCTTTTCCCTGAAGACAAAGGTGATGAAGGTAACCACCCAGGAGCACCTTGCACGATAACTGTCAATGGAATAGATTTAAAAGAAGTCACTTTCTTCACTTATTCAGGTAGCGTCACTTGAAGTAAAGACGTCACAGATGTGGATGCCAAAACTAGAATCGGAAAGCCTTCATCACTCCAAAATCAGTCTGGTAATCTGCTGCACTCAGAATAAAGGAAAAAATGCAGATTTTCAACACCAATGTTAGTTCACTTCTCCTCTCTGGGTCAGGAACTTGGCACTTGTGTCACGAAAATCATTTTCAACAGGTTGCAGGCTTTTATTAACAGCTGCCTTCACTCCATATCAGAGATTAGATGGCCAGAAAAAATGAGCAACAAGAAACTATGGGAACGAGATAGCCAAGAACGTATTGCTTCAGAAATATGCCGAGGAAAATAGAGGTGGTTTGGACATACTCTGAGGAGACCGTCTAATGACATCACGTGCCAGACGGGTCCTCAAATGGAATCTGAATGAGGAACTGCGAATTAGGCGTCCGAGAATGACATGCAGAAGATCTTGTGAGGAAGAGATGAGGGCTTGTGGACAATCGTTGGACCAGCCAAAGAGGACCATAGAGAATAGGACAAAGTGGGGATGTGCTGTTGAAGTCCTGTATTTCACTCGAAATCCAAGAAAATAATGGTAGTAGTATAATTAAGAAGGTTTATTGGATACATTTTGCTCAGTACAATTCTTCGTATATATCGTGAAGGACAACATAGTGTACTTTTTGTTTTAATAGACGAATTAGCTTACTTGCTTGAAAGACAACGATTATTATTTTGTTGTACAAGGCTGAATTACTGTCCAACCATCTAACCAGATGTAAATGACTATTTTAAGTACTGCCTATCGAGTAGCTAAATTTCTTTTCAACGATCAAACATCCCCATCGGTTACCCTTATTTTCAACGTGTTTGAATGTCTAGGTCAAATGTAAAATATGAATCAGGTTTGTTTAGCACATTATAAATGTATGACATTTTGAGAGAAAGCGGATCTCTTCTCATCTACACATACATGTTCACATACTTGAATCTGAGTCACACCTTTTCAGTTGAGACGTAGTCTATTAGCGAGCAACTGGTAACTTATTGCTTGTATATATATAACAGGAAGGAAGCCAAACCCTACTTATCTTTAGTTATAACAGATCATTTAGAATAAGATAAAAAAATAATTGAGTGATTCAGTTCCTTTTTTTTTAACAATACAGTATGGTGCATAAAAACCTTGATGAACTATCATGTTCATAAGTACTTGGTACTTTCTATTCTTGATAAAAGCACTTCGCTTATAGAGATTCTATTCTGAAACAGACTTCTTCTTCTTCTTCTATATATACCATACATTTCAGGTTTACGTCGTTTTCAGTGTAACTTTTGTGGCAAATCTTATACTAAAGGTTTCCTTCTGAAAGCTCATGTGAAAAGTGTTCATGAAAGTGAGTTGATTGTTGTTTTACTCACATTATTAGGTAGTTTAGTTTCTTTATTCATTCCTTTCGCATAATGACTTATCGATATTATTCTACTTTTTTGTTTTTTTTTCTTATCGTTTTGTTTATACGCTTCTCTAATCTTACTCGGTGGGAAAATTTTGTATGCTCTACGCACACATACTCAGAACATATAGGTTCAATAGAAATCTTAAGTATATACTAGTTAACCTTGCCATGTGTAGTCCATCTGTAACCTTATTTCCAAACAGATTAGTTTAATTTCTAATCGTTTCTCAGCAGAATGTAAAATATAAAATGTTTGTACAAACTAGGTGTTTCTATTCCTTATTTCTAAGGCTTAAAAATAAATGTTTAACAGTCTCAACTCTATTGTCTACTGTAGAAATAGTTAACCCTGATTAAGTAATTCCCATTGCCACTGTTTTTAACTAATTAATTAATGAATTAGTTTTTGATCATTTCTATGTATGTATGACATTGTATTAATGTGGGTATTTTTACAATCAGTTAATTCTGTTGACTTGATTCTTTATTTTCCATAAGATTTTTTGGTGTCAATAATTAAACTGAAATGCATTCAATATTTGATGCAGAGTATTCGCACAGCACACTAATACATTTATATGTGTAACTAGTAGTGATGGTGATTTGTAGCTTAGGTGAATGTTTTTAGTGAATTTGTTACTATATTATTACAACGCCAACTTTATTACATTATGGGCGCCAGAGTGACGCGTCATACGAAATCTCTTAGCTTCTGTGGGGACTGAAATATACTTACTCCCGCAGCTTCCAGACTGAAGTAAATGGTCGTCTTAAGGACCCACCCCTTAGCCTTTGACCTAAAGTCTGATCCAAAAGACAAAGGATCTAAATTCCTATGGTTTCTGGGGACTAAAACAAGCTTATACTCCATTTGATACTTTCGCATTCTAATGCTCATTTACCTGACAGGTATGTAGTCAGGGATTTCAAGCTCCCCTATATAGATCAGCATGTTCGCCGGTCCGGTTGTAAGCTCCAGACGTTTGCTTTCACCCTCTCACTTGTATAGGGAGCTCCCCTGCTACGTGAAGACAGTAGATAGAACTTTCATGACAAAGGCTATGGACGAACGCGTGGCCTCATACGAGAATTTCGACAGGAAGACCGAAGTTTACCTACGCTTGTTCGAACCAGATCTTTTGTGGGGTCTTCAAGTGAAGTTAGCGCTGAAGATGTTGCCTAAGACGAGAATGAAAGCTTTGAAACTACACCACTTCAATTTAGAGAATTTAACGGTATCGAAAGCATAGAGTCTATGTAAAAAGCCATGCTGCGAATGAATGCATACAGAATCATATATTATATATTTTTTTCCTTCACGTTCCCAGTGGAACATAGGGCTTCAAGCTAGTGGTTTGAATTTTCTGTAGCAGCGTTTCATTTTACAGGATGGGGTTGCTAGCCTCATGCCTCATGCCCAACCTTTTTCCTCTTCACCAGAATTATTTCTGGCTTAGCGAAGTAAAGGAGTGCGTGTAGTGGCTGGGGATCGAACCCCGGACCATGTGCATAGTCGGCGAGCGTCCTAACCGCTATGCCACCGACGCACTGTGAACATCTACATCATCATGAATTTATTTCAGTAGGTGTCAGAACAATAGGTATTGTTTATAGAGGGTATACAGTAATGTTTTTCTTTAAAAACAAGTCATTTAAACTTGTCAGGAAAATACTATTCCTTCTTCCACTGTAAGTACCCTCTTCCTTTCTGTGTAGTTAATAGTTTTCAATTGTGAGTAGTTGTCTTATTGTAGTCTCATTTCGTTGTCTGTTTTTCAAAACGAAGAAGTATCACATCGACAATCTTCTAAGCTATTCATTAATCTTGTTTCGATCATTTTAAGACAGTCTACGTCATTTAAAAATTTTTCATCCTTGAATACCATCGTAAATACTAGGTATATATATATATATATATGATTGTGAAGTGTAATGCTTTGAACCAATGTATTTTCGTTCCAAAGTCCTACAATGTGTATGCTTTTGTCTCTATAACTTCTCATAATGCCTCAGAGTGTTCACTAAAAAACATACCTGTAGAGTCTTTTTTAACGCTTTCATTTATCACTTCACTATTTTGATAATACATTCCAGGTATATTCTTGTGTCTTTTTTCACATCTGCATTAAAAGGGGAAGAAGCTAACAGTAATAGATACAATGAGAATGGAGAATATATGATCTCCAAAGGTATTTAACTGGTACAATTTGGTAATAGACTGAAATGTTTTGCGTCTCTCCGCACTTATTGTAACTTCAGTGTAAGTTTTGTCACCAACTAACATTAGTTGGGAAACCATTGAAAACTAGGGAGCACTGGACGGCTGTTTTGTCCTAGTTTGGGACTTGTCTGTGGTGCGCACCCACAAATCCACCAGGGGTCGATCCCGGGACGTTCTGGTTAGAAGGCTAAACCCATTTACTATTCAGGCAATTTGACCGGAATTTGCTGACCTGTGGATTGTGACTTTGTCGATTCGTGAAATAACACGTATTTTAGTGATTTCTGTTTTTTTTCATTTCGATAGCGAAAGACCAGATTTGGTCCTTACTAGCTGTGTGCATGCGTGTTAGGTATTGTGTGCTCCCCAAACTAATTAACTCCTATTTCTTTATGAATTCCATAAAATAGCCATTTTTAATTAACTATACGTAGTTATAACGAGAAGGGAAGTATCATAAATGTGGTAGGGATGATGTGATTGAACTTTAAAAGATCCTGGATAATGTCTGTCTCTGTCTGTCTGGATTCAACATAGAACTTGGCACCGAAGTGCAGCAGTTCGAGTTGCCACGTTCCAAATAGCACACAAAGGTAGACAAGAAGATGAGTGAAGAGAATCAATAGAGTTTGACAAGTGTAAGAGTGAAACAGAATGGGTAATCGTAGAAAGGAATATGAAAGATTACAGAGACTGAATACATCTGCACTGGCCATTGACAACGATTTTGAGCCATGTCACCTATTGTCTCCAGCCATTGATTCCTAGAGTCCCGAGGGCCCCAACCCGGAAGTCTGCATCTCCCTACCTGACTCAGTTTAACTGTCAAGGATTTCATGGATTGATGAGGCCATGTTTTTGTTTGGCCACCACTGGCTCTTTTCCAACCTTCACCTATATCAGCTAGTAATGCCCGTCGGGGGAGGCGGTGATTAGGCATGCACAGCACGTGACCTAGCCATCTTAGTCTATGTAACTTTATAGCCTCGTCGATTGATTTTCCCTGTTTGCCCAACACTCTACGCCTAACGTCAACATTACTTACCTTGTGAAACCACCTAACGTGAGACAGAGATCGCAGACATCCATTCAATTCATACCAGCAGTCTACAAATTACTGACGCACTGACTGAATAAAACTAACCAGGTGTCGATTCATTTGATTTGAAACAGAAACTTTATCACCAAATAAGTATAGTCCATTTTGTTAGTCTCCAACTATGTTGAAATTCGATGTAAACAGCTGATAGCTAGTTGGTTTTTGTTTTCATCTACCTACACTTTATTTGTTTGAGTTACTTTTGTAATTCTCGTTGAGTGATTGATTGTATTAGACTGAAATGTTCGGTGTCAGTTGCCTTATTGGCTCCTAGTAAAAACACGAGAGATGGCTCTCACGGGTCATGGGGAGTTGTGAATGTAGCTTTCGCGTTCGAAACAATGAGTACTAATGCCGAGTCTTAATGGGAGCACCATCTCTCACCCGGGATTTTAGGTACATCCAGTTGATGAGTCTCAATCTGGACGAAGTGAGCATGTTGGATTCCACTTCTAGTCATCATCCATTTTAGTTGTTTAGTTTTGATTTCTTTTTTTCATTTGATAGTAGCGTGAAACTTGAACATTAAGTGACAAACTCTAATAACGTTTGGGATAAAACTTCACCGTATTATTTTAATAATAGATTAACTTATTTGGTATATAGTATTATTTACCGATCACGTCATAGAAAATTTACCGCTTTTAAAATCATTATTGCGCACAGACACTTATCACTTTTCCACTTCTTTATACATATATATGATTCTGTTACTTTTCTTTGATCTTAGTAGTATTGATAATTTGTTTTGAAATATCTCCTCCGTTACGTCATTCCTCTTGCGTGTACGTGAAGAGTTGATTTGACGAATAAAAAAACAACATCTGCTTATCGATCTCTTTTAGTTCACTTAACCCGTATATCTTTAGGATTCTTGTTCTTTCCCACCACCTTGTTATGTTATCGTATATTAGTGCGTTTATTGGCTAGCATCGTACAAAGGGTAACACACTTCTGAACATCGCTTTACTGACAGTAAGTCTGGTAAAGAGAGAAGCTTAGGCACGAGGATAGCAAACCTACCTTGTAAAAACTGCAATACTAGCGCTATTGAAGCTTAAAGCTGAAGCTTCGCAAAACACTGAAGCTAAAGAGACGCAAAGCACTTGAAAGAAAATAATGTAGTGCTACACAAATACTGGAGATATGCACAAGTGTATTATTAGTACCACTGAGTGAGATCAAAGAAAGGAAAGCAATAGAACCACATAAAAGACATTAAAGAGCAACGTTTTCCTTGGTTGTGTCTGACATGTCATCAGTAAAGCAACATCGTTCCGCTGGGTTCTGTGTATGAAATAGGAAATAATTTATCATTTGATACCTTATATGATTGTTAGATAATAGTACATAGTGCTTCGGTGGCACAGTGGTTAGGACGCTCGCCGACTATGCACATGGTCCGGGGTTCGATCCCCGGCCACAGACGCACTCCTTTACCTCGCTAAGCCAGAAATAATTCTGGTAAAGAGGAAAGGCTGAACATGAGGCTAGCAACCCCATACTGTAAAATTAAACACTGGTACAGAAACTTCAAGCCACTAGCTTGAAGCCCTATGTTCCACTGGGAACGTGAAGGAAAGAAGATAACAATACAAAATGAGAAGATTCACTTTCAATCCTTTATATATACTCCGTGTAACTTAGAAGAGCGATATAATTAATTGAAAGTTGCTAACTGAAATTGTATCAAATACTTTTTTTAAACCTGCAGGTTTTCTATGCATAAAGATTCATTTGTGCTTTTTTTAATAGAACTGATGAGGTCTTATCAATTTTGTAACATATAACACAGTTTTCCTTAACCTTTTGGTTTCTTTTATTCAGTGAACAGTAAAAATTGTTGACAGTCATAATTTTCGTATGTGAGTACACTGAATCATGTATATATCACCATAATTAGTTTTAAGGTGTTAAACGGTTTCCTAATTCACCACTGGTTAGTTGTGCCATCAACTTCCTTTTAATATTTGAGATATTCCATTTGTTCCCCAGTATGCTATCTATAGACTGCTCTCCCGTTAAGTCCAATACTACAGTTTTCGGGGATACTAATTTATTATTTTGATTGGCCACTGGTTAATAACTAGTGTCATGTGTCTAGTCTTTTCGGTTCAGACTGAACTGTCTCAGTCAATGTAGCAATGTGACCTCCATGCTAGGTGGCTCACCATCACTGTGCCATATGAATCGTTGTTTTTAGATGATTGGAGGTAACTGGCGGGATTCTCGATAATTAGGTTTCGTGCTTGTTAACACTCGTCAGGAAGACGTATCTACAACCTTGAAGGATTTCATATTCCCTCTGAGATTTTAACCTGTATTACTCAGTGTTACAGTCAGAGACATTACCACTGAACTATTGGGGCTCACGATTGAACTCCTCTGGGGGGGGGCTGTATTGGATATTTTGATTGGATACTGATTGCGGCACTGGGTGCCATGAGTTCGAATCTCAGGCGGAACATGAGTTCCGTTAAGGTTGCAGAAAAACGTCTTGCTGACTAGTGTCAACAAGCATGAAACCTAGATCTGAAGGTTCTTGCTTATAACATCCAACCGTGTAATACTAATTCGTGTCGTACATTTATGGTATTTTTTTATCCGTTGTCTCAACAATGTGATCTAATTATCACTTAGAGATTTCTTTACGTAGTAGGCTATGAAACACATTCAGTCTGTGTTGTGTGTGTCGGTTGAACAGTAGACACTTAAGTCAATAAACCAAGTATTTTATTTACTTGGCATCAAATTTAGCCTCGTATAATATTGAAATCAATACGAATTCAACAACAGTGTACCAGCATATACGATAATCTAACGACATTCAGTGCATTGGTGTTTTTTTTTACTACTTATAACTTAAGCCAGACATGGTGATGACTGAAATTTACTTGTAGTACGACGTATCATTTCTTGTGTCTATCTCCAAAATAACTGTAACTATCGTGTAGTAGTAGTAGTAGTCCGTCGGCGGTCCATTTTCTAGAATGCTCTCCAATCATGCATATCATCCGGGTTCGATTCCTAGCTGACACACTCCTGAACCTCGCTTTGCTGACAGTAAGTCTGGTAAAGAGAGAAGTGTAGGCATGAGGATAGCAAACCTACCCTGTAAAAACTGTAATATACTACCGCTACTGAAGTTTCAAAGCTGAAGCTTGAAGCCCTATTTCACACACTAGAGACGCAAAGCACTTGAAAGAAAAGAAAGAAAAATATTTCTGGATCATTAATTTGAATAACTCACTATCTAGTTTGGTAGGATTAACTCTTTACTGTGTTGTTAGGTTTAACAAATTAGCACATTGGTTCAGTTATCTTTTCCAAATAAAGACTGAAATGTTAACACTTCCCGTAATCTAAGCTACTGGACTATTATCTAATTATATATTGATGTCTTAAAGTTTTTCCTGTTTTTGTTTTGTTTATTTTAACAGATATTCGGGACGTAACATGTACTGTTTGTCAAAAGGCCTTTTCCAAAAGATCTGTAATGCGTAGGCATATGAAATCAGTTCATGCAGGTATGTTTAATTAATTTGTAGTTATTGCATGTTTATATTCGTTTAACTCACTATCGGATTTAGTGTGATTTATTTGATGTATTCAGTTGAATGATACTACTTTTTCACCTTTAAACAGCATTCATCATTTAGCTGAATTAATGTTTCATAGAAATTTTTACTCGTTCACGAAAGGTTTTACCCAGCTATCATGTGGATGAGCGGTCCACCATAGTCATCATGATCATGTTCATGATCATCATCATCATCACCACCATGCTAGTTCGAGTGGCAGTGTTTTCACTCATTATCCGGAACTAGTTGAGCTATGAGCCACATATATTGCGTAACGTCTACACAGTTGCGCAGGCTGAAGTGGGTGGGATAATATTTGAACTCGGATTATCTAACTGAAAACTGAGTGGTTAATCCAATGAGTCACACTGTCATTAGAATTAGAAAGAAGTGTGTGATTAGCCGATTTTCAGACAGACTATTTGGTATAGTTGGTGATGTTATCTGATATAGCCTTAGCTTGACGGAGTTCTTTTGATGTAATGTATGTTGGTTAAAGACTGAGTGAAAGTTTGTGTTACAGCAGAATTCTAACCAGCAATCTCCAAATTACAATTTTGGTGCTTGTGTAGTCTTCTCTTGACTGACTGACTTGTTGTAAGTTGATGTAAATGGAAAAATTGGGACATCTTGACTGAAGAGTTTGACTGATAATGACGATCGACCACAAACCCTTTATTAATTGATATTATTCAAAGGTCTGCTCATTAGCTCAATTCTGTCGGAAGGTACTAAGCATTTGACTGTGGCGACTGCTTCTTCAGCTTCTACAGCGATTTAAGTTTTCACTTTAGTTTAAATCAATAAAGATTTGCAATAAATTTGATCAATATCTGACTACATCAAATAGCTTTAAATTAACGAAGGTATTATCATTGAATCTCATCTTATGAATTCAAGAAGTCAAACCCAAAATAATCATGCAAATGAAGCATCATACTTCAATGCTAAGGTACTCAGACTTTTCACAAATGCTTATATTAAAAAGTCTGTGATACTACATTTACTCATCGATTACAGAATGAGCTTATTTCATTGGTGCTGATGTTGTATAAAGCATATTTTCTAATTATGTGGGTGGGAAGTTGAACAAGCTAAGTTCAACTACTGGAACTTTTGAGTTTTTCTATGATGGTTTAATTTTTACTCAGTTTATCACTTGTCTTTTCAATAGAAAACCGCAAAGCCGTCAGATTCAGCTTTGCTTCAACAATTAAAATGGTATCATAAATTATCACATTTGTAGTTTATACCATAATACACAGAAAGACATTCATTGCGAAAATGACTTAAATTGTATTATTACACTATCGCTATATTGTTGGCATTACTATTATTACCACTAATTTATCTCACTGTGTTTAATATCCTGATTTCGATATTTCAGTAATATAATTTATTTTATAGAAATGAGGAAAATATGTCAAATCATGTGTATATGTGTCTGTCAGTGTTCCTTCACCTATCTTTGTATTACCATTCATGTTTAGAATTTTTTTATGCTGTCTGTCTGTTTTCGACATAGAACTTTGCACCGATGTGCACCAGTTCAAGTCGCCACACTCCATCCATGTAGCACACAAAGCAAGAGAAGAAAATAGAAGAAATGCATAATAGAGACAGTAAACAGAGTGTGAGACAAAGGAATAGTAATAACGAAGAACAATGTAGTTTCATTCGAAATCATAAGTCACAAGTAGTGAATGCATCTGGACCAGCCATTGAGAACGATTTTGAGCCATATCACCAATTGTTTCCAACCATTGGTTTTTACCATCCCGAGGACCCCAATCAGGAACACTAGACCTTCCTACGTGGCTTAAACTAAGTGTTGTAGATTTCATTGACTGGTGCAGTTCACACTTAACTACTCATACTAAACTTTTGTCGCAAGTGATTAGCAATTAAATTTGACTCTGTTGTAGTACTCATATTTTTGATCACGAAGTCAACAAAAATCAGATTCTAAGTATAAAAAAACCTTCACTTAACTTGCCTTGCATAGTGCGATTTTATGGATGAGCACCATCAAACTTTAAGCGTGAAATTTTATTACTTGGATGATGTTTCTCTTTCAGTTCCGTACTAACCAATTACGGAATTTGTGAGGTTTTGGCCTGAATTCACGGTACATTTCATGACGGACTGTTACCACTTAGGGAACTGTTGAAACACTTTGAGTGCTGGATTACTGCTTCTTTTTAGTTTGGGTGTATATAGCGATGTTCATGCATAGTACTAGGGTGGGGGAGGGGGTGTTGTATCAAAAACTGTTGACTTTAGAGACAGGTGTGTTGCCATTAAACCATTGATTGGAATCTGTTGACCCACAAACTTTAACCTCCAGCTGTTCTCAATATAACTGCTTAATACTCCTGGGTCTTCGTGATCCACAACGGAAAACTCAGCGAGACGTTTGGAGTAAACACAGGAGTCAGACAAGGGTGCTGGCTTATTATCACCAATGATATTCTTAAATGTGGTGGACGGGATTATGCGTCAGACAGTGGGAAACGAGAAGACAGGGATATCCTGGACTGACATGAAGAACCTAGAAGACCTGGGTTTCGCGCGTGGATGATTTATGTTTGATGTCACACAAAATCAAAGACTTACAAGCGAAAATCGACAAACTGGTCTAAGAAGCAGCCGGCGAAGACAGGACTCCAGGTGAACATAGACAAGACGGAGGTTATGAAAATAACCAGCCAACAGCAACATCCAGCGCCAATCGCCATCAACGAGAGGGATTTGAAAGAGGTTACTTCATTCAGTTATCTAGCATTGAGCATTGTCTCAACTACAGGAGGAACGGGCGAGAATGTCAAATCGAGCGAGAATCGGGAAGGCGAGAAACACATTCATCAACCTGAAACGACCAATCTGGAAATCTTCGTCACTCAGCATCAACAACAAAATTCGGTCGGATTGTCAATACAAACGTCAAGTCAGTTCTTCTATACGGATCAGAAACTTGGCGGGCTGGTCACAAAGAATATTTCCATCAGCCTGTTGCAGACCTTTATCAACCAACAACTGTCTTCGTTGGATCTATACTGAAGGTTAGATGCCGGGCCGGAAAGAATCACCAACAAGAAACTATGGCTGGGAACAAACAAAACAAGAACCAATCGCCAACCAACAAATATGCAGGAGAAAGTGGAAATGGATTGGACGCTAGCTCGCTGAGGAGGGCGTTTGGTGACATTGCGCATTAGGCCATCGCTCGAGTGGAACCCAAAAGGGAAGCGGCGAGTGGGACGTCAGCGCAAGGGTGATATGGAGGAGATCGTGTGAAGAGGAGTTGAAAGAGTATGGAGTAACATGGATACAGGTGAAAAGTACAGCAGAAGACAGAAGCAAGCGGAGATGTGTAGTTGAAGCCATATGTTCCACTAAGAACCCAAGGGAACAATAATAATACTGCTGGGTCTTCAATGGTTCTCCAAGTGATGTCAGTTCTTGTTGAAATCTAAAATGAATTCTCTATTATGCTTGGCTAAAATCGCCATCATTCTGTTTGACTGCAATTTTTGTTGAAAGTCCACTATTTTACTTGTACAGTATTAGTAGTAGTAGTAGTTACTCTAAGCAATTAGTTATTCGAAAATCCCTGATTTATTTCTGGTTTTTTTGTTCATAACAGAAAAGAAAGACTTTCACTGCAATCTATGTCCAAAACAGTTCACAGAGAAGAAAAATCTTCAAATGCACATAAATGCACTTCACAAAGGTAAAATTTCAAGTTTTGTTTATCTTGATTTACTGTCTCACAAATTCATAAAACAACAGATTGAGCGAAGAAACACTTAGCGATATTGGTTTATTTCTCTTGATAGCCACAGAATATTTTAAAATATGTTTCTTCAGAGCTCTGAAGTGTCTGTAGCGACGATTGGATTGATTTTCCTGGGGGGGGGGGTAATGGCCTCTATCTTTATATCCAGCCTGGCTTCTTTTCAGACAGGATCTGCTAATAAACTAAACGGTGCTCTGCTGAAGCCCTACACCCCACTCGGAACCCATGGGGATAATAATAACCTGTTGAATTTCCTCAAAGATTGACCGATGAATTTGTCTCAACGCTTCTTGTGTGAATATTATTTTATTACTGTCTAGTTTAATTAGTAATAACTAAAAGTGATCCCAATGACAGTAATATTTAATTAATTACACTCATTCATTGACTATCATCATGATCATTTGATAGAAATCGAAAGATAAAGTTGTGCCATACTATAAGTCTGCTTGTATCGTGAATTACAATAAAAATTTGTGAATTTAGATAAAATATTTAATTAATCTGCGAAATATGATACTTATATTATCATTTTACGTAAACAGCTACATAAAGTTAGCATCGTATCTCCGGAAGGTTATCGAAGCAGGGAAAAGCCTTAAAAATAATATTTTTCTCATTCTTATGACTCTGTAGTGTTGTAATTGTTGTTCAATAGTGATTTAGTGTATGACTACTCAACATTTGCGTAGATATTTCCATCAGATTTTTTTAAAGCCAACCTAGTTCGTTCCCTCCATCTTTTCTCACTATGTGGTATGTAGATCTTCATCAGAAATATAATTTATAAAGTTGCTTAAATAATACACTGTCCGAATAACTTCGCAGTTGTGAAGTTATGCCTCATTGGTTTGATTGTTTGACTTCCAACTGATTGGGTCACAGGTTTGAATCCCTCTCTCTATCTACAAGGATTTGAGAGCAGCTAGGTGGTATCATTATCTCCCACGCAAATAGATATGGCTGATTATCACTTGTATGGAAGTACAAGTGGTTGTCCTCTTAACATCCTTTTCATGTTCCGAAACACCCGTACCAAATACTTATTTGATATTCATAACTAAATAAACAAACGTTATCAGCATGAAACTTAGCATTACTTCACAATGATCTAAGAATAATGCACCTCACATCTGTATATCCAATAGATAATAAATACCTATGAGCGATCCCTACCAGTAGTGAATAAATTTATGTGATGGTGTTTCTCAATATAAATCCCAGTCTTATTTCATCTGTCTTTACTGATCACTTAGAAGTAAATCAGTTAAATACTAATATGTAGTCTAGTGTATGTAGTCCATTGTCCCGACTCTGAATTCCCTCGATGCTGACGGCTACATTTCCAACAAGCTAGAAGTTACTGTATATGATAACACTTTAATTCTTATAATTACTTTTACATTTTGCATCTTGTAAAGTTGTATTCATTTGTTTGTATCCGTCTTATTTTATAATTTAGGTTTACGGCCTCATCAATGTGATGACTGCCTCAAAGAATTTGCTCGAAAGTGTGATTTGTTAAGACATTCAAATTCAGTACATCGGGGTGAGTTTGTTATTCCTTTTCACAGGTGTTGGGATTTATGACTGTATCATGTTATACCCAGACTGGAGAATAAAATGCTCTATAAAATCAGATAATTGTCTACCTAGTGACTGTTTTGTCGACTAACTACTCAATTTGTCAGGAGCATAGACACCAGTAGGCTAACTAGCATCTGTCACCAGCCGCATTTCTTCTTCTGATATAATCACCGCATGTACATTATGGGTGTTAAGCGTAGAGCTCAGCTTAAAATCGATAGACTAATCAAACACGAAGGTTTTAGACCTTTATCAATTCAATTATATTTATATTATATTTGTCATCATTTCAGTTGGCTGAACTACATGTTACGCAAACCAACCAACGAAATAACTCTACGTCTTATGTTGGCAGAAAAATCAATGAATTGGGGGGGGGGGAATCGAATGTTCGTCACGCGATGATATTATCAACCATGAAATCACTAGCTGTTCACTTGAGCTATGTTTTGTATGGAATTATAGGTTGTCTGACTGGTATAATAGAAATGGTGGTTGCAGCTTGGTGTAAAAACCTGAAGCTGATGAAGACTTACGTTTATCAGATTCCACCGAGTCAGTTGGCAACTGCACTATATTGCATACAGGCAGAAATAGGAAATCATGAGATGTTTGATTTTAATCGAGGAGAAATTTCCCTGATCTGTAGCGGTTCACTACTGAGTTCGACCTCTCCAGTACCCATGAGCGTCTAACACCATACCGTCCCATATTAATATTATTATTACTGTTTTTATACCCTTGGGTTCCGAGTGGAACATAGAGCTTCTCTTCAGTCCTCTTTAGCTAGCTCCACGATTTCTAGTAGGTTTTCATCCCCCCCTCATCCGATCTTCTCCTTGTCACCCTCGGTTCCACAACCAACTTGTTATTTCCCTTTTGGTGTTCCCCTCAAGGGCCTGGTGAGCAATGTTACTCAACGGTCTTCTAAAAGTTTGTCCGATTCACCTCTATTTTCTTCTGCATATATGTTGGGCGATAGGTTCTTCGTTGGTTCGCTATTAGAGTTCTTTGTTGTTATTTCTTTTGGGTTGGCCATCTGGTCTTCATTATGGAGCCAGTGAAGGAAGTTGTCGATGAATGTTTTCAGTAGCCTGTTGGAAATGCTTTTGGTGACACATCAAGTCTCTGAGTCATATAAAAGAACTGACTTACTTGACATTAGTGTTGAAAATCCTAATCTTATTCTTTATGCTGAATGCAGTAGAATTCCTGTTTGATTTTATTATAATGAAGGCCTGTTTCACCTTCCCTATCCGGGCTGGCTTTGACATCCTGATCTGTGCAGCCTTTAGTCGAAACGATGTGCTCTGGATAATTGAAAAAAGTGACGTCCATTAGATTTCTTCCATTGTTCTTGGGTAGGTGTCTTTATCACCTCTTTCACATATTAAAGAAGTAAAAATTATGAACTAGTATTTGGCTTTTAGTGGCTGTTTGTTATAAAAGTATGCTTTAGAATTTACATTGATTGCTACATACAATTTCTTAAATCACTACGTGAGGAGTGGCAACTGGATAACTCTTGATTTCATTATCTATCTTTCTTGTCTCCATAATTCTTTAAATAGTTAGCTTACTTATAAAACATTAGAAGTGGGGTTATTGCGTCTGAAGGTCTTTTCTTCAGTAGCTGTTGTCATCATGTGTTCCTTTCTAAAATAAGTCAGTGGATTATGATTGCGCCTTTCTTTTTTTACTAAAATTAGTGTTGATTGTTATATATTTTCTTTCGGTTTTCTATAGATTCAAAACCATATATGTGTCCATTGTGTAACAAGGGATTTCCACAGAAATGGTATTTTGAGCGTCATGTGGCTTCTGTTCATAAAAGTGAGTGTTACTGTACTTATCCTCTATTCGATTGGTTTTTTATCACACTTGATGGAATACAATATTTCATGGCTATATAAGTAACCATCGGCCATTTGATAAGCTGACCTCAATTTGTTACATGTACATCGAAAAAAGGTATACTTAATCCTGTTATAAGATTAAGTACTGCTGTTCATATATCCTTCAACTTGTATCAGTGTGTCTTTTTCTTCATTCGTTGTATTCCGAGTGGAATGAAGGACTTCAAGTTTTGAAGTTTCAGTAGCGACTGTATTTTTTACACAAAGATGGATCGCTTTCGCTCACTTTCAACCTTCCCTCTTTTGCAACCTTACTGCCGGTTAGTTAATGTTGGCAGTGTTAAAGAATTTGTTGGCAGAGAATCAAAACTGAACCTCTAGAATGGGTTGGCGTGCATTCTACTGTGAAACCATTGACTCACATAGATGTGTATTAAGTAGCTTTACTTGTAAAACAGATCAAAATAGTTGTTCATATTTACTGTTAACAGTGTTTCTATTATGTAATCCTATGAGAAAATATTATTTTTAGTTGATTACTATGATCACCTTTAGCTGTTGTTTTACTATATGGTAATGTAGAAATACTGCCAAGTGCAGTTATAGTTGCCTTACCTTGTTTGGTGTTGATTTTCACGTTATTGTATGTGCATTTGTTAAACGAAAATAGGAATTTAATAGAGAATTGGTTACATTTTATCTGAATCTCTTATTTTTCTCTGTTTTTTCCCCTTTTTGTACTACACGGACTGTAGTAACTTGAACTGCTGCACTTCTTTGTGCTAAGTTGGATGTTAGAACTCAGTCAGCCAGTCAACAATAGTTAGTTATTCTATAGAATTCTGTTTCACTGCCTAGACAGATAGTATTATAACAAAAGCGTAAATAGCGTTGTAATATTTTCTGTCAACAGTATTATGAATTCAGTATAATAACTTCTTTTCTCAAGGTTGGTCGTGAACTGACTTCAGTTAACGAGCCATTAACAACCAGGCACCACTGGACAGCTGCTTCATCCTTGTATGGGATTCTTCAGCCCAACAGCTATGATGATTGCATGAAGGCGTCTATTCCAGAACCTTCAGGTTACGAGGTGAGCTCACTGTCCACTTAGATGAAATCGAATCGCTCTTCAGTTATTACTTCTACCAATTAGCGATATATAGAGCTACCACCATCCAATACAATCATCAAGCATTTTTCCTCACAGCTAACTTGGACCTACTTGATCATGATTTCGTACTAGAACTTCAAGCGTCTTCGTCCAGTAATCAGTCACTAGTGATCACTAGATTAATTTTGAAGTATTGATTACTAGCAGTTTATCATGTTTTTAAAGCAGACTGTAATGTCAATAGTAGAGTTGCTCTTTCAAGTTCGGTTTCCTTGCCTACACAAGCGATACTATAACAAAAGCGTCTAATAACAGTAATAAATTCTTTTGTATTCATAATAATATTTATGAATTTTTATTATTTACTCTCTTTTTTTAACTATTATTATTGCTACAGAAACACCATTTCCGATATCCTTTATGGTTCCTCGTCAACAAACGCAGCAGCAACAACAACAATCCCAGCAACCACAAGCACAACAACAACATCAACAAACTTTACAATCGCAACAAGAACAACAAGCCCTACAGGATATGCTGCAACATCAACAGGAACAACAACAACAACAGCAGCAACAGCAACAACAACACTTATTTCATCAACAACAGCTTACTGTACTCCAAACTCAACCGCACTCTCAACAAGTTAATCTGCGTGAGTTATAGACTAAGTGCAATCATTGATACCTCCATTTCTTCTCAAAAAAGTTCTATTTCTTAACTGCTTATCTTTGTTACTGTCATTCACCATTTGAAAAATTAGTTGTTTTTAAGTTTTTCGTGGGTTAAACATGTTATAAATTTCCCTTTTTTGATGTGCTTGTGTTTTCCTGAGGTAGCTGGTTTCATTGAGTAGCTTTGATTGTCCTTCAAGACAGCATCTTCCGGCACCTAACTCACAGACCGTAAGCTGTAGACCATACATGTTATCTCTGGGTTTATAAGGCTTTTGTGATGTTTCTATTTTTATTAAAAATAAACTTGGTACATAATGTACACCGAGAGGTGTTTTACACCAAGTCTCATAGTTTGTGAGAGGGCTGAAATACTTACTTCCCCGACGTCCAGACCGAAACAGGTGTTTGTCTTAAAAGGCCTACTCTCTTCCTGTATCCTGAAGTCGGATCCATAAGGTAATAGAACTTGAATCCCCGTGGTTGCCGGTGACTAAAACGGGTTCATACGCCATTTGATCTTTTCGGACTCCCATGGTCATGTTCACCGTAGGTTTGTAATCATAGTTTCCTAGCTCCCTAGGTAGATTAACATGTTCACCATCGGTCAGATGTAGACACCAGAAGTTTTCATTCGCCCTCTCACTTTTATGGATTGCGCCCGTGCCACTTAAAGGTAGTGAATTCGACTTGTGTGGCAGAAGGTATGGACGCGTAGACACATTATAAGATTTCCAGAGGAAGACCCATGGCCACGCTAGGTTGCGTAATTGTGTAAACGGTTAAGTACTGGACAGCTTTTCATCCTTGTTTCAGACTCGGCATGTGACCATAGGTCGAACCCAGGAGCTCCATTTTACAAGGTGGGTTTGTACATGATTGAGTCACTAGGGCTTTGCATCAAAAAATAGGCATATAAATATCAGCATGTATTCTGTTGTATTTGGTTGTCGATCCATTTGAAGCCATTCTTCAAATGTGGGAATCAAATTCAAGTCCTGGGGGAGTAGATGTAGACGGGTGGAATATCTTTGCAGTCCCCAACATTTTTCCATCAATAAAGACGTACATTGTTGTCAATGTTTTTTGTTTTCTTTTTGGACTGGAATACGAGAACTGGCACTATCCGCTAAGCTTCACAAACCTTCAAGTTAACATTCTGTGTTGTGTAGAAGATGGATTTAGCTGGAGGACACTCTGATCAGTTACACATCAAATACCTAATCAACCGATTGATATTTATTATCTAGCATTTTTAGCCATATACCTACATCAGGTGCATAGAAATCTTATGACACAAGCATTGCTTTGAAAAGTACGACAGATGAATACATATGTCTTCATGAGGTTTGACTAAATAAATCATCATAAAGTTTACTCCCCATGTGGAAATATCAATCACTAGATTAATCTGTAGACTCTTTGTCAATTTGTTAGTTCAGTGGATTGTGCAATATAATTGACCCTCGTGAATGAAATGTGTTTCATAGCTTAGTACGTTCGCCGGGTATATGATTTATCACACTGACCTTCCAGAGGATGTAAATTATGAAATTTGTCGAATTCTTAAGATTTTGATTTCAAATAACATACGTGTTTTCTGTTTTGATGTGTCAATTGTATACTTCGGTTAATTATCTCAACTTCTGCCATAATCACGAAATATTTTCAACTTGATTTAAACTGTAGCTATGGGCACCATAATCGCCACACCAGGTTCAGTTCAAAATGCAATGCCTTCTGGTACACAAGTGATGATGGTCGCTCCTGGAGTAAATATGCCAATGCCAGCGTTTTTCTTTCAACCACAACAAGCTACTCCGTTCGCCAATACAATCACAATGAATCCACATCCAGCTGTCCTACCAACCAGTACAAATTCACTGTTTCGTCTAATTGTGCTACAACATCGGCTACATTTATCACTTCACCTTTCGGTGTGAGTCATATACCCGTAAAGCCGATCACATTGAATCCAACACAGATTGCTGTAACTGGTAATTTCGATGTCTTTAAAATATAACATTCCTTTATGACTATTCTTTTTCTTTTTGTGTAATCATACACTATTAATTGATTGTTCCCCGTATTATTTCTGGGTGTATAACTATCATAACCTTATTTGTTTAGTCCTAAATGTTTGTATTCGTTGTTTACTTATAGGAAATTTTATTTCATCTCATGTAGCTACTACAACTGCATCACCCGCAAGACCTTCAAAAGAGTATCAATGTGCGACCTGCTCAAAAGTCTATCCTCGTCGTCAAAGTTTACAAGCTCACATTATACAAGTGCATACAGGTAATTATAAAATTCCTGTGGTAAATGTTTTTAAGTCGTTGAACTTCTTTTTCGTGTTATAATGATAATAATATCAGCTTTCTCTGGAAATTATCTTCACACACAAAAAAAATTCTAAGCATAATTTCTTGCAGAATATTTACTCCCTGTACGGGATCTTCAAGTAAAACATTGATTGACAGTACATGTCATAACACCGTAACGCCTTTCTGCTTGAAACAACGCTCAATTCTTTATAACATATTTTTCATTTTATTAAAGTACACAAGTGGACGCCAGTTAGAATTTGCATGAGGTTATTTTGCCATCCTAAGGCAAAACTGGAAGATTAAGACAACAAGAGACAAAAAAAGTAAATGCGTTATTCTGAATGGAAATTTAAATAACTCAGTGATTTAAATTGGCTACCAATAAATAATGCTATTTACGAAATTAGTTATCAGTGTTCTTCTTATTGGCGTCATCTAGCTTTAAAGTAATTGTAATTTTCGTAAATCTATGGCTAAAGTATTTCAGAACACTTGTGCATTGATTGAATGTTTGGCTTAGCTGCACATCTTATGCGTCTTTTTCATTCCTTGGCGTTCCTAGTGGCGCATAGAGGGCTTCAAACTTTAGTTTTTAAGTTTTATTAGCGATGTAGTTTTTACAGGGCGACCTCTAGCCTGATGCCAGCATTCCTGCTCTGCTAGGTTCACTACCGACTAAGCAAGGTTTAGGCGTGTATCGATTGGGTATCGAGTCTGAACCATATGAGTAGTTGGCAAAGTTCTACAGCTGTATCACCGATGCACCCTTCTCTTACATAAACTAATCTTTCAGTGATTTTGTTTAATTTTTTGAAATGAGAGAAATTATTCAACAAAACACATTGATTTTTTGTAGCCGTTTAACACTTCAGTCCACTTGTATGTCATTCAAAAGGGTATATATTTAACGAAATATATAGATTTTTAGACAGACCTTTTCGAAGTTTCAGTGATCTATTCTTCTGTACAGATTTATTCAAAATTTAACTGAAATGCAATTTATCACTAATTGTTTCATTCACGCTTTCTTTGCTTAGCTTATATTTACAAGTTTAATTCTTGCAAATTTGTGCAATAAGGATTTCTGTTGTTTTTATAGTTCTGAACTCAATTACTCTGGACAAATTTTTTGCGTGCTAAGCTGGTAGACACATTTTTCGTTTAAGGGTTGGTGGTACAACTCAGCAGCCCAGGTTGAATTAGATGGGGTGGAACTCGAACCGATGGTCTACTTGCTGTGATAACTGAATACTTAAGCCAATAAGGCACAGATCTACAGCGGGTTTCTGTAGTTATAATCATGAAGTCCTTCTTTTAAAAAAAGATTTTGTTAACCTCATCGTAGACATTCGCTTGTGCGGGCAAATGTAAACGACTACTTAAACTGTTACTTTTTAGATACAATAGTAGTAGTCCTTTCAACAATGTTTCTTTTACCAGTTTTCGAGATTACTTCTGTAATTTTAAATTTGTAATATTGATGTTATTTTTTGAAAAAAATCATTTATTTCAGACAAAAAGCCCTATGAATGTAATGTATGTCATAAGGGTTTTGTCCGACGTTGGGATTTTTATCGTCATGTTAATTCTGTCCATTTCGGTAAGTCTTGGTCCCTTTTACATAACAGATATTGTAAATATGATCACATGGTTAATTTCTGTGTGTCTAGATGTGATACGTTTGTTCAGTAGAATATTTCCAGGGCTTGTATGTCGTGTATATAAAAAGGTGATATTAGTGATGCTTTAAATGTAAAGCAGCTCGTCGATCCGATGCAGATTTATACACTCATTTATGGGAACTTGCGGTGATACTGTTCCCTCCAGGCAAATGTAGCTGGAGCGGGATATATCCCTAATACCACGACAGACTATAAAAAAGACAATTCCAGTGATTCTCGTAATTTAGTTCTATAAACATTTGTTGACCTTATTCAAATGAACAGGATGTATCACCAACTGAAGCAACTATTAAGCATCTGCATAGATGTATCCTAATGGAAACAAATCCGTGATTTCAATAACTGGTTGGCATAAGCCACATAGGTTAGCCTAGTTTGTCTAGACTATATATATATATATATATATATATATATAAGCTTTTCTGAATTGTTGCAACTTGAACCTATCCATTTTCAGACAGAATTCTACTTTGTCACACTCATATTATGAACCCAGTTAGCCTACAACCGGTTTCCAGAATTTCGAGACAAATTCCACTTTAAAACAGGCCACGATAACATACTACTGTTCTATTGGAATGAGTAGTTTTATGCCACTCACATCAACCTGTGATGCTCTCGGGACAGATCGAAGTGATCTGAACACCGGATGGCTGTTCGGGATCGAGCTCATATCCATTTACCCGATTCGACTCAGCTCAGAAGACGAAATCAGTTCAAACCACTCGATTTCTCGCTAGCTAGTTGATCGAACTGGTAACACCATAAGTGATATTCGCAATTGGCAAATCAACTCACAATTTATACACTTGTGAGAAAATTTACACCACAGTTACCTTTGGAAATTGGAATTTTTCAGATCACAAGATGTGGTCTGCTTGTTACCATAAGTGGTAATGAAGAAACTAAACATAAATGCATAAAACTGTTCTCTTCTGATTGATCGAAACGACTGATATTGATTCTGAGTGGTAGTCTGACATTTAAAAAAAGTGTATCTTGAAGTTGAAATTGAAATTAGACTTTCAGTATTTGACTGTGGGATGTGTACAAACAATTTCAACACTTTTTGGTACAATTTTAAGCACAATTTATAACCTTTTCTTTTTACAGTTTTCCTCTCTTGTATGTTTAAATCTTTTCTCTTCATCCCTAGATAACGCGACGACTGCTATTGGCAGTGATAAATTAGAAGAATATGTGGCATGGATGCGTGGACGTCGTTCCTCGTTAGATATTAGCTGGGAATGCTTAAATGCTGTTCGACCTGATTTGGCTAAAGTGAAAACAGAATCAGACGGACATCCACAACAATCTACACAGATAACCCTGAAACCGGAACAGATAAATCACTATCTTTTAGGTACAGAAGTTACAGCTGTCGATACATCAGATATTAATAATTTATGATATATAATACCAAAACAAAACAAGTGAATAATATTAATAATAATAATATTAATATTAATTATGAACAAATTATCATTTTCTGTATATAGTTATGTAAATGTGTATGATCTTGCCTCCTCCTTTTCCTTTGTTTGTTAACTTTCTTTTTTTTCAGTCAGTCAATCAGTCTTGTCATACGTAGTCTGTTTGACTTTTAAAAAAAAATGGAAATCGTATTCGTTTATGAACAATTCTTGTGTTTGGTTATCTTTTTTCTGCAAAGGTGCAATAGCCTGCCCTCCTGTGATCATGTACTTTTATTCTATATTATACTAGCTAATAATGATGATGATATATTTATCAAAATACTAATCATTATTATTATTATTATCATTATCTCCAGCTATCTTCATACATTTCTAAAAGTGACAGTTTTTCTTTGTAACCAGTTTAATTCTCATTATTATTGTTATTATTATTACTATTATTATTATTATGGTGATTATGATATGACAACTTTCTTGTTTATCACTCTTATTAGGAGTGCCACAAAATATTAGTATATAGCAGTGTCTCTACACTACGTTTTCTTTTTCACAGCGTGTTGATATGATCTCAAAATTCCCCGCCCCCAACCTAACCCCATACCCCTCCTGTTTTTTCTAAAAGAGCTGTCTTCTTTTGCATACATACATACACTTTTATTTATTTCATTCGTCATTATTCTTCATTTCTTTTTTCCCGTCATCATTATCATCCCCATCATCATCAATATGCACGTATTTTTTGTCACAATGGTCTATCTCTCTCTCTCCCTAATTTGTTATCTTTCGATTTCAATGGCTAATGTGTATTGCAACTGAATAATATTTGACGATTACTATTGACTGTCATTATTACTGCTTATGATTCTACCTACCTACCTGACTACCTATGATTTAATTATAATTATTTGTAATAGTTTATATTTTCTCCTTTATATTTATTACATAATAATGTATGTTTACCATTTTGACGATGAATCTCAGTAAGTGGTTATTATTATTATTGTTTGTCTGTTGGTTTGTTGATTTATTTGTTTTTTTCGTAGCGACGTTGTTTTTTTTGTTTTGCCTGTAAAAGTTAAATCGTACAGTTTTTTTCATATATATACATATAATATTATGCATATATTCTTCTACTATGTATAGATAATAGACATTTGCATCATAACGATATACATATATGCATATACTACTACTACTAATACTACTGCTATCTTCTCAATACAACTCATCTATACTAAGAACAAAGTGTTAAAAAGACAATTGTTATTACATTTTGTTAAATATTGGTTGTTTGTACCTTCTTTTTTTCAAAAAAGATAATTTTCAGTGGGATGATGACACATCATTTCTGATCAGTCATACTGAAAAGACAATGATAGTAGACATCGTGATAACAATAATATTAATGACGACACCAATAATAGGGAATCTAAATCATCCGTAGTAATCCCATACAAGGAAGGAACCTCGGAAGCCTTACGCAGGATTCTTAACAATGCTGGCAGGAATAAAAGTGGCTGGCATTCAAACCAACCACAAACTCAATTAGAAACAAGCTTTGTCGGTTAAAGGATCAATCCTGTGGAGCCTTTAAAACAAAAGAATTTAGTTTATCTAATACCCTGTCTGCAATGATTGTCAGGTCGAATACATAGGTCAAACTAGTAGAACAGGTGCAGTCAGAATAGCTGAACATAAAAACCTACCGAAATCTAGATTGGTTGACCCAAATAAGATAAGAAATCTAGAAAATAGTTCAGTTATAGCACTACATGCAGTTACACACAACCATATAATAGGATGGGATAGGATGACAGTTTTAAAATCTAATGTCACAGGGTGTAGGGAGGGAGGGACTGATAACAGAAGCTTTGTTTATTGAATCAACTGCAAATACATGTAATAGGAATGATTCAACACCTGTCCCAGATATCTGAAAAATTCTACTACCCCAACGACGACAAGTAGAAGAGAGCAAAGAAAATTATAAAACTCAAGTTTTGAAGTCGTGTGTTTGTAATAGATATGATTATGAACAATAAATTTTGTTCGAAACGTCATCCAGTAAATAATAATACTGTTTCATTGTGTGCTACACCTAATAAACAAACTAATATGGAATTACTTACTACCACAGTGCCCAAGTTTTACACATATTCATACTGAAAAGAATATATATATATTCTAAATGACTTGGTTAGTTTTTGAATTGAATTTTGATTTTCCCGTCGATTGATTGGACCGAAGTGCTAGGCCTCAGGTTGACATGTCGGCTTCTTGTGCAGATGCTTCGACGATGTCTGGGTTCTCGTGGCCCAAGTGGTCTAGTGGATAACGCTTTGGCGTTTGAAACTATGGGTACTGGGTTCGAGCCTCGGTGGGAACATCATCACTCACTGAGAAATGCAGGTACATCCAGCTGACGAGTCCCAAATAGGACGAAATGCGCATCCTGGATTCCACTGCTAGCCACCATCCACCAATTGTATACTAATTAAATACCCAGACATCGTCGAAGCATCTGCACAAGAAGCCGACATGTCAACCTGAGGCCTAGCACTTCGGTCCAATCAATAGACGGGAAAATCAAAATTCAATTCAATAATTAATATGACCCGTTGCACAAGAGGTGGCTCTCGTGGCCCAAGTGGTCTAGTGGATAACGCTTTGGCGTTTGAAACTATGGGTACTGGGTTCGAGCCTCGGTGGGAACATCATCACTCACTGAGAAATGCAGGTACATCCAGCTGACGAGTCCCAAATAGGACGAAATGCGCATCCTGGATTCCACTGCTAGCCACCATCCACCAATTGTATACTTGGTTAGTTTGTTGGAAATTTCTGGTCGAAGATTATGTCACACTATCGGATTTAATTGTTGGTTACGGAAATCAGTATTATTAGCATTACAATTCCCTTGGATTCCTAGTGGAATATACAGCTTCATCAGTACATCTCCATTTCATCATGTTTACTGCACTCCTCTTTAGGTTGGCTTTACAACTGCCCGTGAACTCTCAGCTCTTCCTCATATGATCTTCTCTAAGTCACCCTGAGACACACGCTTAACTCGCGGTTTCTCATTAAAATCTCATTTGAGAACCTGTCTGCTGTGGGATGTCAGCGTCAATGGTCTTCTCATCTTGTGTCTGATCCATTTCCGTTGTTTGCTTGTCAATAATGAGTGAGTAGGAGTAGTATGGGGACATCTACGTAAGAGCCTGAATTTAATCACTGTGAGTCAGTCATCTGTCGCTTAACTGCTTTTTTTTGAATGATTGTTTTTGTAATTCTGATGAATTAGAGCTGAGTGTTTAGATTTTAAACTGTTTCATGATTGCTGCTTATTTCTGAAAATGGAGTTTTTAAACCTTTCACAAGAATCAGACAAGTGTATTACATTGGAATGTAAGAAAAGGGATGTCTATCTTTTTGAGTCCAACTACAGATCTAATAGTCTTTCGAGTTAGGGATATTTGTGCATCCAGGGAGATTACAAGCGTACACACCACTGACAACTCACAAAGCTGTTTGAGTTCTACATCCACTAGCGTATGAATATAATAATAACTAACTAAACTGTGAGCAATTCAGTTAGAATTGATTACGGCATAAAAGATTGTCAACGTTTGCAAAAGTAATTTTGGTATATTTGACTTGCTTAAACTAATGTAATTATAAATATTATTGAATTCATCTGTTTCTTCACACACTCGTATTCTAACATAAAGTATTTAACTTTGAATTACTAGAGTGAAATCTAAGACACTATTATTATTATTATTAAGTTATAATTTCCCACCACTGCCATGTGCTACTGTTTCGAATACATTTCCTGCCTAGTATATTATTATTATTGTTGTTTCCTTTGATTCCTAGAGGAACATGGGGTTTCAACCGCTCGTCTCCATTGCGTTTGGTCCTCTGCCAACGTTTTCACTTATCTCCACGTCTGTCCACATGCTTTTATCTCCTCTTCACATGACCTCCTCCATGCCACCCTCAGACGACCAACTCTCCGCTTCCTGTTCGGGTTCCACTCGAGGGCCTGTCTGCCTCGTATAATATATAGATCGCTATTTCAGGGCTAAGCAACATAAATGTCCCGTCCGATTATAACGGGTTTAGTGTTTGAAAGTATTCATCATTTCAACTAGTCTGCATATTAGCATTACTCGTGATAAGTTAGTGACTTATAAAATCTTAATACAAATAAAAGAAAATCACTTTTAACTTTTATGAAATCAGAATAATTATATTGAGGGTGATATATTCATGTACTCATTAAACTTCGAGTGTACTTATGCCTATGTTATCTGACCTTATTTTTGATTGTAAAACACAATCATTGAAGGCAGGTCTGTGAGGGCTAAACGTATTTAATATAATAGGGTTCGTTGCATTGCCGACACCATTTGGAAAAAACAAAAATGATCTCCCGGTATGGTTGCTAATGAAATTAAAGTAATTCGAAATCATTTCTCTTGAGTAGTCGGCGTGAATACATGTTACTCACACCTACTGACAGCATAACTTTACGTTCTATGTAATCGGAAGTAGAAATACATTGGAAGAAGCGAATAGTTGGTCCGACGAAGACATTATCAATCCACAGAGCTACTGACTATTTATGTAACTTGCAGGGTCGCCGTCAGCGTGACAACTGCAACTTGTAGTTGGAATCAATTGCAGTGGTGCACATGTATTATACTGAGTGTTTTAACATATAATTCTATTTCAACTGTTAATCTCTTCTTTTGCTTTTATATGGTTCCAATGTTACTGAATTTCCTATAAAATTAATTTAATATATATTCAGATTGTGTCCAGAAAATAAAAAAAGATTTGTAATTTTCGTCTTGAGAGTAACTTATATTCACACTTTTAACTTCCACTGGATTTAGAGAGCATAGATATGGATAGCTAAACAGTGATGCTGGGTTTTATGGCGTTATTGTTAGTATGTAGTTCGAT